AGGAGAGGAGAGGAGAGGAGAGGAGAGGAGAGGAGAAGAGAAGAGAAGAGAAGAGAAGAGAAGAGAAGAGAAGAGAAGAGAAGAGAAGAGAAGAGAAAAGACAGATATCACTTAAGCACGGATAAAATTTTTTGTTCAATGTAATATAGATGCATTTTTGTATAATGTAAAACACTACTAGCTTTTCTCTCCAAAGAAGTGTCATTCAACTTAACAGATTGTGACTGTCTAGGTAATCTGTCCTTCAAATTCTCCATATTTGCCAAATATGATTGTGAAAGAATGAGACTTTCTAACTCACTTCCGATGTTCCCCTTCAGCATTTCTAATTTTGCATCTCTCTCTTTCTCCCCAGTCCTATGTTCACTTTATGATCTTTCTTGTTACTCTTCGATGTCTGGAATGGAAGCTTGGAAATAAAACAATGAGAAAGGATCCTATTTTCAGGTTTGGAAAAATATTTTAGTGAGATTTTTTTTTTAAATGATAATTTCTTAAAAGTATTGCATACAGGGGGAAATCCTAATCAGTTATCAAGGGTGTGCTAAGATATTAAAATGTTAGCTATGAGGCAGTGCATTAATTTGGAACACAGGATGCTGGCTTTAAAACAACTATGACCTAGAGGCAGTTGGAACAGCACTAGGTCATGTGAAACACTGAAAACCAAGGGCTTCATCGGAACTGTTTGCAGTCGGGCCTGCAGCACATTAGAGGAGGCTGAATCATTTGTGTAATAACTGGTCTGTTTACCTACAGCTATTGAAATAAAGTGAATCCAGAAAAGAGCACAGAGTGACTAGTACCCCAAAGACAGGAAGGACAACTCTTTTCCTGGGAGGGTGAGAAGCCCAGGAGGTAGATAATGAAGGATTCCTCTCAGACTGTAGTACAAAAGGAAATAAGGTCAGATATCAAATGACCTTGAAGGTGCACACTCTATTCATAACTCAAAAACAAAACCATACCATTGCAGCCCTGCCCTCAGGCACGCTGAGCCAGAGACCAAGTCCAGGCATGGTGTGTGCCTGTAATCCTAGGGCTGGGGAGACTAAAAACAAGAGGATCACTACATAAAATACATAAAAAGGAACAAAACCAGAGGCATCTTACCTTTAAGACCTCAGTCACCATTTCATTCTCCATTTAGAAATCCCCACCTGCCTGGATTTTTTAAATCTGTTTTAAACTTTTGACTGATTGATTGATTGGTTGATTTGGTACAGGGTCTCACTATGCAGCTCAGACTAATAGTGAGCCTCCTGTTCCAGCCTCCTGGGGTGCTGGAATAACAGGCATGCACCACCACCATACCCAGTTTTGGTGGCTAGCATGGTGGCATGGCTGTGGTACAGGGGATCAAAACTGGGTCCTTGTGCTTGCCAGCCAGGCACTTAGACCAACAAGCTATCTCTCCAGACCTTGTCTGGAGTTTTCACATCATTAATACTGGATGTCCAGTGTCTCTCAATTCCAAGAAAACTAAACTACGCGGCCATCCTGCCACCACATCAATGTCATCTTCAACTGTGACACAAAGTTGAGTGCTAATATGACAGCAGGCCTTGACAATACCATTTCTACTTACATGGGCAAAGAAAGTTTAGAGAGTCCACAGCCCAGGATAGTGATCTTGGTATTAAGCTTTAAGCTGGAATGAAAAAGAACACATTTAACTGACACATATTGCAAAGTAATGCTTGTGCTGAGTCACATAGCTAGAATTTTTTAACACACGACTTTCAAATATTCTAGTCTTTTACAATCAAACAAGTTCTCATGGTATCTATGTTTTGGCTTCATAACTATGGCTTCAAAAGTTTATTATGATTCAATATATAATTTGCTTGCTAGAAGATGGGTATTGAATTATCTGTTGAGACTAAAAGTGATAGTATCATAGTAAAGATCATGAAAGAGATAAGCAATATTTTCTTCCCTGGCTAACATTGCAGATTAAATCAAGAAGGCTGTGAAAATGAAAGGTTTCCAAACTAGACATAAATCTTGAAGTGTTATGGATCACACACTCTACTCCAATATAAAGTTTAAGGGATGAAATGATCTCACTGGGACATTGGCAAACAGCATCCAATTATTAACAAAATCTTTTACCTGAAGGATTTCTACAAGAAGCAGTAGAGTGTTTCACAATCCAGAAGACCCGGAAAGGGAGGATGCAGACGTTCAGCTAGAAAGAGTGAGAACTGCAAATGCTCTGACTTCTCCAAACTTTGAGCAGGTAAAATCTACTGAGTTATTTTCCACCAGCTAAGAAAATTACCACCAGTTAAGTGAATCTAGTTCCGAAATGGTGTATTATCCTACTTTGGCATTTCTAAAAACTTTTGGTCTTATAACTCTTTCACAGTGTTAAAAATTGTTGAAAAGCCCAAGTACCTTTGATGCATATGGGTTAAATCCATGAGGACTTACTGTACTAGAAATTAAAGTGAGAAATGTTTAATGAATAATGATAAGTGTTTAATGATAATAAACTTCATACTTAAAATTAGTAAACCCAATACATGTTAGCACAAATAGCATTTCCCATAAAACAACTATAATTTTCAGTGAGAAGAAAGACTCTTTTATATGTTTGCAAATGTCTCTGATGCTTATAGAAGAAAAATATATTCTCATGTCTTCCATATTCTGTTTATTACAATGTATTATCTTGGTTTAAGATATGTGAAGAAAATTCGGCCTTACAGACAAAAGTTCAGAAAATTAGCAATGTGTTTATAGTCTTTCTTTTAAGATTATTGTGGGTATTTTTCTTGGATATTATTAAAATAATAATACAGTGAGACAATTTTAAAATCAGATAATTGACAGTTTCTTTAAGCTTAGTTATAATGTAAAATCTAAAATCCTATGTTAAGGTGTTTGAGGCTTGGTTACACTAAAATACTGTGATCTGTCTTGCCCTTTAGCCAGGCTGGACTTAATACTATGCACGCTGATTGATGCCTATTCATTCATAGTTACTGTGGTTTTGCTAGAAGTGAATGTATTGTATTCCAAAGCAATGAAAGCACCTATAGTAGTGTTGCAATCACTTATTTCAGAAAAATATTTAAACTGAAAGCTGGTGAAGTTATAGTGATGATTGCTAGCCTTAAGAATCCAAAAATTTTGATATTTGCTTGAATTCCTAATTTTATCTTCAGCAACAGACAATATCCATCGTACTCTGTGAAATGATAGCTCCCTACACTTGGTTTTCAAAAAAATCTGCCAAATTGCAGAGGGATTGTTGGTCAATTTCTCTCTGAAATAAAAACAGAATTCCATTTACAAAGCCCCTACTTCAGCTCAGAATTCAACCATGCAGTTGCTTTGCCTGGAGATCCCATCATACAGCAAAGTTCTTCGTGTGTCCTTCCTTCCTTAGCACCGAGAGTAGGAAGAGGATCAGTAAGTCATCCTTGTTTCATTTTTATTAAGGACAGTTTCAAAAGAAACAGGTGCTTTTTTCCCATTACAGCATGGTAGGAGAGCTTTCCCTGCTGGCCCCTGGCTGGGTCTGTGCTCAGGTACCAGCGGCTCTACTCTTTATTGCTTTTGCTCCATCAATAAATATTTCTATGCTTCATCCTGATTAAAAAGCCACCATGTGTATCATCCCCTTGTATAACTTCTCCTCTACAGACCCCTGCCATTATTGCTAGCTGTCTTCGCAAGGAGTACACAGAGAAGAAATGCCTCTTTTTTAAGAAAAAGAAGAAAATAGCAACAAGAAATGTCTCCTTCTGTGTTAGAAAAGGTTTGGACCCAGTAATTCTTTCTTCTTTTGGGGGCTGAGGAATTTTTTTTTTTAATTTTTAAATTCTTTTTCTTTTCATATCATATAGACATCAGATGTTTTCCTCTTGGTTAAGAATGTAAGATCTAAAAATTTTATGTTTGGTTAGGTTTTCTGTTTTATGTAAAAATGTATGAAGAAAATGGGAACATTTAGCATTTATTTTTAATTATAAAGAGTACAAAAATTAACACATTAAAATACAGAATTTCTGAAGAAGATGACAGGAAATTAACAGTGGTTGTTATAGTGTGTATTTTTATCTTCAAAGTAGCTCAGATTACCAAATATGGGCATATAAAATTGATAAAAAAATAAGTATTAATTGTTCCTTTCCATATACCAATAGAAATTAGTGGTAAAATTATCTTAGCTATCAAAAAATATATATTTTCCTCCTTCCTTCCCCTTTCCCTCATCCCAGTGGTTATTTCCTTTTCAGCAGTTTCTGTCTCTTTCACAGTATCTACTTCACATTTCAGATTTTATTGACTTTCAGTTTTTTTTTAAAAGAGAATAAAAATGTTAAGAGAACATGAAAAAAAATTCAGAATTTCAAAACAAGATGATAGGAAATTAATAATAGCTGTTATATTTTCACTTCAAAGTAGTTGCTCTGATTGCCAGATGTAGACATGCAAAATTCATCAAAATGTAAATTAAGCATTAACTGTTCCTTTCAACAAACCAGCATTAGGAATATAATTGTCTTAGCTGTCTTGTTATATATGTATATTTCTCCATCTTTTTATTTTTATTTATTTATTTATTATTTGTATTTTTAAAGAGAATAAAAATAATAAAAACATAAGAATTATATAATTCTTTAGGCCTATTTTTAAAAATATATTCTAATTTTTAAATGTTTTTTCATCATATTCTGTAGGGACTTAAAGTTCAACATATCAATACTTGATGAAAAATATCTGTTCCATGTTATGCCTAAGATGTTTGATATTCAGACAGATAGTGAGGTTAAGCTTAACAGCCTAGGTTGTATGGTAATAACAATAAGCTTCTCTTCTGAAGGGTTAACAACCTAAGTTTGCAGACCAAAATTAGAGAAAAAGGAGGGCCGCAAGGAAAGCCAACATTTTGGCCCTAGCCTTCCAAGGTCAATTAAGACTCAGGACATATGAGAACTTGTACTGTAATATCATGTAACTCAATAGTGTCCCAAATTTTCTGATCAAGGAGATTATGGGGCCAAAGAGGAAAGTGATCAATGATGTAGAGTGTGCCTAAGGAGAGTCACATGGAGAGAAAACATTCTCTCAGGCTTTCACAGGGAGCACATTGGCCAAGCAATGGCCGTGACTCATCCACATGGCTGACACTGACAAAGGATCTACAATCTGAGGTACAGGATCTCAGGATAAATCCTGAGGGGATTTCACTGACCTTATCAGACCCAAAAGCTACAACTCTTGTTGCATAGGTCCTGCTTTACCTTGGTCTTAACCATCCAGAAGAAAAGTATAAAAACGAAATATAAGAAGTAAAGTCATGCTGTTATGTTGAGCTGTAGGGGACTCAGGCCAACAATTTCTGACATTGCCAGTCAAGTGGAAGCCCCAATACTCTTATGGACTACTGGAATCTTTTAGAATATTTTGCTGAGTTCACACACCTATAATATTCAAAAAACAGAACTAAACAAAAAAGGGGATACAGATGAATGTCCATCTTGTATCTATATATATCATGATGGTTAGGTTAGATATATAGTTACATTCTCTTAATGAATAGAAGGATCTGTTCTAATAGAATTTGTAAATAGGATATCATGTCCGCATCTTGTACAGCAAATAACTACTAGGAAGAATGCATGTTATGTGTTAATTATTGAAACTGTCCTACCAACTTGGTTTGAAACTGTCTCATCACTATTTGTTTATCGATAAAATTATGGGAAAAAAGTTAAAAAAATAAAAAATAAAAAGCTAACATTAAGACAACATTATACAATATACCAATCATGGCTGAATTCCTATTATTTTGTATAATGAAATTCTGAGGAATTTTTTTTTAACAAACCGTAATTTCTCCTTGAATGGAACTCAGTGGGGGTCTGCGTTAAAATAACAAGCCTTGTGTTAGAGTAAACCATTGAAGGCCGTCTTTTCATGGTTTAATCTGACTGCTTTCCTAATGATCAGGGCTGTGTACCAGAAGGTTGGCCTGGGCTGTGCCAGTAGAACATTCTAGAATCTTGCACTTGCTGATTTCTGCTTCCTCCATTTGGCGTGGCTAGCTTCCAAGTGTGGACTTGTCATTCCTCATGTGTGTGGCCTTTGGCAAGAAACTGAAACACTTCAGGGTCATCACAACCGCCAAAGGGAATACTGGAAATAAAGCACATATCACACACTGAGCCTTCTAACAATAACATTACTATGATTGGTGTATGTTCTTTCCCTGCAGGTGAAATTTTAGGATTATTGGGACATAATGGAGCTGGTAAAAGCACATGCATTAGGATGATAACTGGAGAGACAAAACCAAGTGCCGGACAGGTGGGTGGACCAGAGCAATAGTATTTTATCCAACTACATCTGGGCAGCTACCTGAAAGGTGTTACTCGCTGTTTTTTCTTAAAGTTATTCAAACTATATATTGAAGAGTAAACTGACAGATTATTAACTTAAAGACACAAATGCTAGTCATTGAGTGTGGATGCTTAACTGTGTTCACTATCTTTTTATTTTTTTTAAATCTTCTTTATTTATTTGGTACAGAGTCTTGCTATACAGCTCAGACTTGTAGTCATCCTCCTGTTTGCAGCCTCCCTGGTGCTGGGATTACAGGTGGGCACCACCATGCCTGGTTCTCGTGGCTGGCATGGTGTGCTCAGGAGCAAGGCCAGAGCAGCATGTGGTGCCAGGGATGGAAGCCCAGTCCTTCCACTTACCAGGCAGCCACTTAGACTGCCAAGCGGTCTCCCTAGCCCTTTGTTTCTTTTAAGTGAATTAAGAGAGAATGTTGGAAGTGCCTGCAAGCAGGTGCAGGGCCCAGGGTTTGATCCCTGGGCCTGCTGTACCGGCCCCACCCCCAGAGTGTGCTGAGACAGCAATTGAGACTGGGTGTGGTGGTGCGCGCCCATAATCCCAGCTCTTGGGAGGCTGTAAACAGGCAGATCAGTATGAGTCCAATCTAGTAGTGAGACCCTGAATATCCTGTAGACCTTTTCTTAAAATACAAAAAGAAAAAAAAAAAAGAGAGGAGAGAGTGTTGGGTAATTGGTTAATAATAATTGGATAAGAATCATAAAATCCTGACAAATTGTGTTTACTGGAGCTCAGGGTGTATGGGTTATACTTAATGGGCATCGCTGTTTCACTATGCTAGTATTTAATATCAAGTAGAAGTGTGTAGAATGGAAAACAAACCCTTTTGTTTTCTGGTCTTCCTAAAGTGTTATTGCTGAGAAGTCATTAGGCATACGCAATCTTACCCGAAGCTTCCCCAATACAAATGGGACAAAGTGTATCTGAGAATGGTGAGAAGTTGACACACCAGGCAGTGAAGGTGAATAGGTTTGGCCCTTGCGTTGTCTGTATCAGAAACAGGGACCAGGCAGAGTGTCAGAGAGCACAGAGTCATCAAACAGAAATCACAAGATACACATAAAACACTTTTGACAATTTCTATGACAGAGTGTAGAATTTTTTTTTTTTATTTTAAAGAGAAAAAAAAAGAAAAGCAATGGTACAAAATTTCAAAACCAAAGCAACAGGGGATAACGATGATCAGGAGATTGCTTATTGTTATCTTCAAAGTAGTTGCCCAGCATACAAGACATATGCATAAAAACTTGATCTGGTGACACAAGCACAAACCCTACTAGTACTCCTTCGGAAAATGTGTCCCACAGGAGGCCGAGGTGTGTGGCCCTGTGCCAAAAGAACAGGTGAGTGGTCAATCTGAGGGCAGCCAGTGCAACCCGGGACATCATTTACAAATATCCAGTAAAGAAGGAGGAGACGGCCATGTTCACAGTCCTCTGAAGCCATGATGATAGCGGGCAATGGGAAGAGGCCTCTGCAATGTTGCCAGCTCAAGCAGCCCTAACTGGCCTGCCCACGCCAACTCCTCCAACTCTCCCTCTCTGGGACAGCCAGGACCCAAATCAGTGCCATCTGCAGTTCTCATGAAACATTAGAGCAAAGGCATAGTTGTCCTTTGGCCCACCAGAACAAAATATCTCAAAACAAAAGCTCTAAGTGACAAAACCAACTCTTCAGGCATTATGAAATGAGCTTAATCGGGTCAGCCAGTGTGCAGTTGGTCAACCGTGTTATTCCCTTAAATGCTTCCAGCAATCTCTACTCTGGCAGCTCTCCTCTCCTTGGCCTGTGGGGGCTGCGCCTGATGACTCCATGTGTTTCTGCTGCATCTCTTTCTTGCTTGCTCACTCCTGCTGCTGCCCATCCCCAGCTGTGGCCAAGAACACATCAAGCTCCTGCCTAGACAGGGCTTTGCTCTTGCTCTTTGCCCTGCCCCAAGTCCCTTGCCTCAGACCTCTCCAGGCCTGGCACCTGCTCCTCCTCTGCTGAAGCAACCCCTCCACCACAGGTAGGCTCCCTGGCATCCCAACCAATCCCCTCTCCTCTGCTCTTCTCCATCCCAGCTTCCCAAATATTTATGTCAAAATATGAATAAAAGTTATCCAATTTGTTATTTGCTTAGTTCATCATAGAACAGAGATATCATTTGGGCAGAGGTACTGAACAGTTTCTCCTTTCTGGACATAGCTTTTGTGTGGCCCCTGGAACATAGAAGGAACAAAAAAAAGTTGTAAGACTAAGTGAAGTGTTAGACAGTTAAATGAAAGCACTTGAGTCTGATAGCACAGAAGGGATTTGTTATGTCAGCCATAATTTCAAGATACAACAGTCTAACACAGTTCACTTTTCTTTTTGAAAATATTTTCTAAAATGTGTTTTATTGTCATTTAATAATTGAACATCTTTATGGGGTACAATATGAAATTTTCTATATGCTCATGGATTAGTTAAATCGAGTTAATTAACAAATCTACCACTTTACATATGGATCATTTTGGGGGGTGAAACATTTAAAAATCTATTCTTCTAGCAATCCAAAATGTGAAATGAACTATGATTTATGTAGTTACCATTTTTGTGCAAGACATCACAAAAGGTATTCCTCCTTTCTAAATGAATCCACGTAAGCTTGGATCACCAGCTCTGTGTCCTCCTCCACCTGCCTGTACTGGCCTCTGGTAAACATTACTCTGCTTTACAATCACATGAATTCAATGTCTTAGATGTTGCACATAAGTGAGATTATGTAGAATTTGTCTTTCAGTACCTATCTTAGTAAAGCATTGTCCACATTCACCCATGCTGTCACAAATGACAGGATTTCCCCTCCTTCCCTCCCTCCCTCCCACCCTCCCTCCCTCCCTCCCTTCCTTTGAACATGTGCTTTTTTTTTTTTTTTTAATTTCTTGAAAGAGAATAGGGGCCAGCCAAATAGCTCAGCGAACTCAGTGAATTAAAGTACCTGCAAGCAGGCACAGGGGCCAGGGGTTTGATTCCCTGGTCTGCCATGCCGGCCCTGCCCCCAGGGTGCACTGAGACCACAATTGAGACTGGGCGTGGGGGCACGTGCCTATAATCCCAGCACTTGGGATGCTGTAAACAGGAGAATCATTGAGTCTGATCTAGTAGGGCCACCCTGAACACCCTGTAGGCCCTTTCCTAAAATACAGAAAAAAAAAAAAAAAAGAAAGAAAGAGAATAAAAATAGGTAAAAAAAAAAAAATTAGAAATGATACTGAATTTCAGAATTTCACTAAACAAAATAACAGGAACTCAACCATGGTTGTTGTATTACATATGGTTGTCTTCAAATTAGCTGGGGATTTCCCTTTTTCAAAGGGCTGAGTTGTGTTCTAGTGTGTATATCTAACACATTTTTTCACCACTTATCCATGGCTGGTCATTTCAATCGATTTCATATCTTGCCTGCTGTGAACAGTACTGTAATGAAGAGAAGAATGTGATATCTCTTGGGCATAATGACTTATTAGGCTCCATGCCCAGAAGTAGGATGACTGGCCCATAGGCTAGATGTAGTTCTCATTTCCTGAGGTGAATTCATACTATTTTCTACCAGGACTATACAAAACCTACCTCCCACCCACAACGAGCACTCCCTCCTCACCCATCCTGAACCTCTTGCCTTTTTGATAACAGGCCCTGATATTGTACTGTGCTTTTAATTTGCATCTCAATGCATTTCTCAGCGGAGATCAACCTGCTATCTTTGCATACTCTTGGGTCTGTGTGTTCATTCTCCGAGTGCCTTCTCCCTTGCTAGATGATAAACAGAACTAATACCACAGTGATGAGGAAGATACCATAGTGATGCTGAGAAGTGCGCTGCACATGCAGTAGCTGACAGTGGCCTGTCCATCTGTCCACAGGTGCTGCTGAGAGGGAGCAACGAGGCCGACCCCCTGGGCTTCCTGGGGTTCTGTCCTCAGGAGAATGTGCTGTGGCCCAACCTGACTGTAAGGGAGCACCTGGAGGTGTTTGCCGCCGTGAAGGGGCTGAGCAAGGCGGATGCCCCGGAGGCCATAGCACGGTACATGGGAGCCACCCTGTCCTGCTGTGTCCCGGGGCCAGGAGGAGGCTGGGGGTGATGATATTCTCTGAAACTTAGGGTGTGCAACTCTATGTGTGGACCCATTTGGAGCTCAGCTGACTTTCACAGTTGTTTTTCTTTTTTTCTCTCTCTCATTTGAAGCATGAAAGGATAAAAGTACATGCTCAGTGATGAAACTTGTTGAATTCAGTTCAAGCTTAGGTATGAGCTATAGTGCACAGGAATTGGTCGGACGCCATGAGCTATGCTTATGCGTTTACAAGATGCAAAATATATTGCCCTTGGGGATCAAGTCAGTTGTCAAATTCAGAGCATCTGCACTCCCAAAAGTGTTTTGGGAACTGCAGCTTTAGATTGTGTTCCCAAATCCTCTCGCTCTCATTCTGGGTCCACCCTCCCCAGTCCTTCCCTCCCCTCCCCTCCCCCACATGGCTCTACCCATCCTCCCCCTCCCCCACCACAAGCTTCCTTATGGAGCACACTGTGAGGCTCTGCTGTGTCCCCCGCAGGTTGGTGGAGGCGCTCAAGCTGCAGGCCCAGCTGCAGGCAACTGTGAAGACCTTGTCAGAGGGAATAAAGAGGAAGGTACGCCAGGGCCTGGTGGGGCTCTGCACCTATGGCTGGAGCTGACAGCTGGTCTCTGTTGTTCCAGCTGTGCTTCGCGCTGAGCATCCTGGGAAACCCATCGGTCGCGCTTCTGGATGAGCCGTCCACAGGGATGGACCCCGAGGGCCAGCAGCAGATTTGGTGAGGAGGAGCCGATTTCCGTGGGAGAAGTTTAGATTTTGCTAATCTTATTAAACACACACCAAAACTGAACCCAAATCAACCATAATTCACCTTCAAACTGTTTTATGTAAGAGTAGAAAATATTATCCATGTAATTAGGAATTAATATTTGGCCAAAAGATCCCTTTTGTGATACTTTACATCCAGTGCTCGTGGAGAGAAAAATAAGCTTTTCAGAATCCAATACTCTTTCAGTGTTTAATTTGTTTGTTTGAATTTGTGTCTTACAAAAGTTTAAAGTTTGTACGATAATTAGTGACTGACTTTGTGACTGACTTGGGCTGGGGGACCTAGTTGGCCTGTGGGGTTTGGGGCTTCCGAACGCCTTCATTCAGGCATTATTGGCTTCTCTGTCTCAGCCATCAAGGTCCCAATGCTCCTGGAGTGCAGCTCTCTTTTAACTGTCTTCTCATGCACACGTATCCTTTTGGCTTGAACTTCTACTCCTGTCTGGTCCTCCCATCGAGTTTCTCTCCCCATCTCTCCTTTAGGGAAAGCCTTTCAGTCAGTTGCCTCACGCGTGGTAGGCCCTGGGTTTGATCTCACCACTGCCGACTTAAGAAAACACTTTCTGATATTCCTGTCTGAACTGCTTTGCTTGCACTCATCTTGCCAGAGTCTCTCTTGCCTCTAGAGTTAGGATTTCTCCTTTCTGCTGTGCAAAATTGCCCTTCCACTATTTCCAAATGAGTCAGAGACATCCATGAATTATAAGTGTGTTCTCTCAATAATATAGGAGAGCAGCCCGGGCCACTTTTACAAACACAGAGAGGGGCGCCCTCCTGACGACCCACTACATGGCAGAGGCCGAGGCCGTGTGTGACCGTGTGGCCATCATGGTGTCCGGAAAGCTGAGGTGAGTACCCGTCCTTCAGCCTACACCTGACCCATCCGTGCCTTGGAAGCCAACAACACTCACGCCACCTTCCTTTTGCTATCACAGGACAGGGGTTAAATTGAGCACTTTTTTAGACATGCTCTCCTTACTTGTCTTGTCCATTTTCAATCCCTGCTGCTGCTCCAGGTGTATTGGCTCTATCCAACACCTGAAGAGCAAATTTGGCAAAGATTATCTGCTGGAGATGAAGGTGAAGACCCCCGCCAACGTGGAGCCCCTCCATACAGAAATCCTGAGGCTCTTCCCCCAGGCAGCTCGGCAAGAAAGGTAAGACTGGCTCCGGCTTTTGCTTTGGTACCAAATATTCTTTTTCCTGATAGTTGTTTTGCTTTGCCAATCAATATGGATTTCTTCTTTTGAGTTCTTATACTAGGGAAACTGTATGATATTTACACATGTGTGTCTGTTTTATTTCACTTATGAGTATATGTTCAAGTGGCATCCACCTAAATACGAAGGCTTCGAGTTTATCATTCTTAATAGCTGAATAATACTCCATTGTGTAAAAATACCACATCTTTTCAACCATTCCTCAGGTGATGGGCATCTTGGTTGTTTCCAAGATTTGGCTATCACAAATTGTGCTACTATAAACATAGGCACACATATGTCCCTATGATATGATGTTTTCAGATCCTCTGGGAAAATTCCCAGTAGAGGAATAGCTGGTTTAAATGGGATTTCCAGTCCAACTTTTCTAAGGAGTCTCCAAATAGAAAGGTATAATACAAGTAAAAGGAAAGCAGGACCTCGAGGACTAACTAATCAAGAGAGGAAAAGGAGAAGAGCTAGGAAACATGACAATGTCAAGCCATACAGTTATATGTAGAAGATGGGCAAGGCAATGATCTTGAGAATCTCCAGAAGATTTTTGAATCTAGCAGTTAATTGGAAGGATTCTCACCCTGACTAACTATATATACTGATACTTGTGAACTAAGCAACTGCACTGCAGATGGTAATCTGTAATAGTAGTTTCATGTTTGGTGTGCTTGTCATTCTGGTCTTCTGAATATGGGCTGCTTGTCATGACATGCCAGTTGCTGCTATGATGTCTCTCGGGTAGATGGTTGTTCAAAAAGAAGTGGGTGGTGAATGAATACAAGAGACAGGAAAAGGAATATTGTGGGACTGTCCTGCTTCAAGGTTGTATATGGTTAGTTTTTTGGACTTATATGTAAACATAAGAAGTATATAATTCTTTATGCCTATTTTTAAAATATCTAATTTTTAATTTTTAATCATATTCTGTAGGGACTTAAAGTTCAACATATCAATACTTGATGAAAAATACCTGTTCCATGTTATGCCTAAGATGTGTGATATTCAGGCAGATAGTGAGGTTAAGCTTAACAACCTAAGTTGTATGGTAATAATAATAAGCTTGTCTTCTGGATGGTTAACAACCTAAGTTTGTAGACCAAATTAGAGAAAAAGGAGGGCCGCAAGGAAGGCCAACATTTTGGCCCTAGCCTTCCAAGGTCAATTAAGACTCAGGACATATGAGAACTTATACTGTTATGTCATATAACTCAGTAGTGTCCCAAATTTTCTGATCAAGGTGATTATGGGGCCAAAGAGGAAAGTGATTGATGATGTAGAGTGTGCCTAAGGAGAGTCAAATGGAGAGAAAACATTCTCTCAGGCTTTCACAGAGAGCACATTGGCGAAGCGATGGCCGTGACTCATCCACATGGCTGACACTGACAAAGGTTCTACAATCTGAAGTACAGGATCTCAGGATAAATCCTGAGGGGATTTCACTGACCTTCTCAGACCAAAAGCTACAACTCTTGTTGCATAGGTCCTGCTTTATCTTGGTCTTAACCATCCAGCAGAAAAGCATAAAAACAAAATATAAGAAGTAAAGCCATGCTGTTATGTTGAGCTGTCTGGGACTCAGGCCAACAATTTCTGACATTGCCAGTCAAGCGGAAGCCCCAGTACTATTATGGAGTACTGTTCTCTTTTAGAATATTTTGCTGAGTTTACACACCTATAATATTCAAATAACAAAACTTAACAGAAAATGGGGATACAGATGAAGGTCCATTTTATATCTGTGTATTCAAAGTGGTTAGGATAGATATACAGTTACATTCTCAATGAATAGAGGGATTTGTTCTAATGGTGTTTGTAAATAGGATATCATGTCCACGTCTTGTACAGCAACTAACCACTAGGAAGAATGTATACAATGTGTTAGTTATTGAAACTGTCCTACCGATTTGATTTGAAACTGTCTCATTGCTATTTGTTTCTTTATAAAATTATGAAAAAGTCAGAAGAAAAAAAAGAAAACAAGCCATAAAAACAAAACAGAGAACTACTGTATTTGTGGGACACTGCAAGAGATAAAATACATAGAGGACCAAGTAAGAAGAAGCCTAGAAGAAGAATATCTGGGTCAAACAGAATTCCTGATCTAAGTCTTTGAAAGAATCTCACTACAACATCCATAATGATTAATTACTTCACATTCTAAGCAACAGTCTAGAAGCGTGAAGACCGTTCTCTACCACCCCCTGCCCCCCGCTGTTGCCAGCATTTGTAACTTGATTTCCTGCTTGCTTCTGTGTTCCTGTTGTGCAGGGTATTTTTTTTTTCATCCTTTAATTCTTAGTGCAAGAATTACTTTTTGGATTAACTATCGCTGTTTTCCATTAAATCAAATACGCCAATCTGTATCTTTAGATTGGGTGATTGGGACCGATTACATTAAGAGTAATTACTGAAAGGTATTGGCTGCTTCCTGACATTTTGTTTTTCTCCTGTGGCTAATGTCTTTATTTTTCCCTCCTACCTAACTGCCCTCTCAGTTGGCTTGATGTTTTTTTCATTCTGTCAAATATTTTGGCATTTTTGGGACTGGGGAGATGGCTCAGTGGAATAAGCGCTTGCCCAGAAAGTGTAAGAGCCTGAGTTCAATCCCTGGTTCCACCAAAAAAGAAAAAAAAAAAAAAAAAAAGAAAGAAAAAGAAAAAAGAAAAAAAATATTTTGGCATTATTGATGTCATAGTCTGTCTAGAGTATCCTTGAGAATTTTATGGGCTGCTGGTTTGGTGGTCAGGAATTTCTTTAAGTACACTTTACTATGGAGAGTTCTAATTTCTACATCAATTTTGGAACACAGTTTTGCAGGGTATATTGTCTGGCCTGAAACTTGTTTGCTTTTAGTGCTTGAAACATTTCATTTCAGACTCTGATGGACTTTGAGTTTCCTGCTGAAAAGTCTGATATTCTTTCTTATCCATAATATTTTATTTATTTGGTGCAGGGTCTTGCTATGAGCTCCTACTCATAGTGATCCTCCTGTCTCAGCTTCCCCAGTGCTGGGATCACAGGCATGCACTACCACGCCCAGTTTCAATGTCATTACAACATATCCAGCGTTCCCAGGGACCAGCATGGAATGTGGTACCAGGGATCGAACCCAGGTACTTATGCTTGCCAGGCAGGTGCTTAGACTGCTGAGCTATCTCTCCAGTCCAGTCTGCTATAACTCTAAGGACTTTATCATTTTGAAGCGATTACTTTATAAATGATTCATTACTTTTCTCTAATGCCTTTTTAATATTCTTTTTTAATTTTTATTATTAATTAATTAATTAATTAATTAAATTTTTTGTGGAACCAGGGATTAAACTTAGGCCCTTGCACTTGCCAGGGAAGTGCTTATTCTACTGAGCCATCTCCTCAGCCCAATTTTTTTTTATTGTTTTATATATTTTAATGCAGGGTCTACAGGGTCTCACTACACAGATTGGACTCATAGTGATCCTCCTGTTTCCAGCCTCTCAAGAGCTGGGATTACAGGGATGCGCCACTACACCCCGTCTCAGTTGCTGTCTCAGTGCGCCCTGAAGGTGGGGCCAGCAAGGCATGCCAGGGACCAAACCCTGATCCCTGTGTCTGTCTAAGCAGGCACTTTAGTCCACTAGAATATCTAGCTGGCCCAGTTTTTAATATTCTGCCTTTGTGTGGGCTTATGGAATTTTGATTATGAAGTATACCAGCCTTTTTCTATTCATAGCTATTTGAGTTTCTGTGTACTTCATTTACTTGTATGTTGAATTCATTCTCCTTCCATGTAGAGTTTTAAGCTGACTTCTGTAAATATTCTACGATTTATGCTGTCCTCTGACTTTGTGTAATTCCAATTAATCTCAGGTTATTCTTCTTTGAGTCACTTGGTGGCTGCCAGGGCCACTTACTATAATCTCTTGAGTACGTTTTAAAGGAATCTCTTGAGTCCATGGTCATACGCATCAGTCCTGTCTTCTAATTCTAAAACTTTCTTCTCACATTGTTCATTTCCATTTCCTATACTTCCAGTAGAAATTGTTAGCTCACATATTACCATTTGGCACACTTTAGTAGACTGTAATTCTTTGTTGGGTTGATCATGTTTTGACTCTTTTTATCTAGCTCCAGTAGCTTCTTAATAGTATCATCTCTAAGCTCACTGACCATTTTGTTGATTAAGTTTCTTGTCTGCTTCGTTCTGTCATCTTCGGTTTTTTAATTTCCTCCCCCATTGATGTCCCTGGGATCTCTTTTAAGGAAGTTGGGAAGCATATTTTCAGCTTGTCTTCTCATGATGGGTGTGTGGAGGGTTGAGTAACAATTAAAATAGGAAGACATTGCTGCTCTTTCAGAGGCCACGGGGGTTAATGTCTACTTTCCAGTGCTTGGCTTGTTTTGCTTGGATGTTTATCTACCTCTTTGTCCTATTCCACTTGTGGAAATCAGATCCAGTCCCTGTTTTGCAAAGACAGAACCTCTGTGGGTTATAACAATGTAGACAGATCTAAGCACAAATCAGTCATGAGCATTGAAAAGAATGAGAAGTTTCATACCCCTTCCCCAATGAATCAAGCTAGTACCAACAGACTAAGATGTGGAGAGTCAGGAGAGGAAAGCCAGAGAGGAAATGAAAGGAGCAGGTCAGTGAGAAGGAAAGAAGAGAAATGGTGAGAAGTGAAAAATGAGAAGTCGGACTCTGTAAGAATTGTTTTTGTAGCTTGAGTTAAGAGCTATAAGAGTGAGCATGTAAAAGATCAAGAGAATTGCTTCAAAGAGAAGAAGGCGCACGTAAAGACTGAGGGATTGGAAGTCCACCTAAAGCCACAAGATGCTCAGGATCTCTTAATTTGTCGGGAGCTAGTTTATGATTGGATTCTCCATGCCCAGTTTTGGTGGGGTTCATCCTGACCCAACCATGGCACATACTCTTTAAATTAAAGCACCAGTTAACGTTTATAGATACAATATCAATATCGGTGTCTATGTAAATATCTATGTCCGTCTCTATGCCCATACCTACATCATCTATCTAAGAAGAGAGGAGGAAAGGGAGGGAAGACAAAGAAGTAGGAAAGAGAGGACAGGAGAAAAATAAAAGAAAGGGACAAAACAAAAATAGTAATATGAAAGAAAGTGCACAGCAAAGCAGAATTGAAAATCTCATGCATTTGCAAAAGCGCCCAGTCAAAGTGTGCTCGCTGCCCCACTTATGCTGCGCTGAGTTCAACTGCAGGTGTCACGCATCTTCCCCTCTCCAGACTCCTGAGAGCCACGTTGCTCTCCGCTCCTGTTCCTGCAGAATCCCACCTTGCCCTCTGCTTTGTCTTGGCACCTTCTACCTTGCTCAGCTCAGACATCCCCAGACAGACACCACTCTGAATTTCCAGCTGCAGGCCTTTCTTAGTCCCTTTCCTGAAAGCGTCACTCTCCAAGCTGAGAATCTGAAAAGCCCCCAGGCTCCTTGCATTGGTGGCTCCTCTATGGGCACTCGCTGGGGGAGTGGGCACCACAAGCTGTCCCATAAGGGCAATGCTGCCATTGTAAGGGGAAGGAATGGGCGGGTGATTATTTAAACTATAATGTTACTCTAGGAGTTCCTACCATGGCAGACACTCATACTGATGACAATGTAAAACTGCGCAATACTTTTTGTAGACTTTGATCAGTCAGAGGAGACAGCCTGCATACCCAGAGACCAAAGTACTTTCCTCTCTTCCCAGGTACTCTTCTTTGATGGTCTATAAAGTGCCGGTGGAGGATGTTCAGCCTTTATCACAAGCCTTCTTCAAATTAGAGACAGGTAAGAGAGACCAGGTTGAGAGAGGTCCTGAGAAGCAGGTAATTTACAAACAAAATACCTCTAGAAGTGATGAATTGAACCAGAGAATAGCTGTGCTAGGTCTTCATGCTAAGACTTGAACTTGAATTCTGGAACCAGGAAACCAAGCGAGGGGAGTAGGTTCTCCAAGTGTAGGTGTACAGTGTGTGGTTTCTCACTTTTGCTTAGTATTGTTGTAGTTTTGGCATATAAGGTAAGATTACACAGTCTACAGTGATGGTGGTTACGTGTTTTAGAGCTTTGATACACACTCACTGAAGACACTATACTTAAGGTATGTACCTTTTAAGTGCATATAATGGGCTCCAGCCATAAATTAAGAAGCAGGCCTACTGCATAATGACTAGAAACCCACTCTCCGTTGGTAGCTTCGCTTTGAATTTCAATATGCTGGTTTATTTCCTCGGGACAGTTTTGTTTCACTTTTCAGTGTCTCAGGATATCTTTGCTTGCTTGCTACCTGCCCTAAGGAAGCGTTTCTGATCACCTGGCTCTAAAAGCATCTCTGACCTCTGTTGACAGCACCCAAGGTCATCCTGGTACACGTTCTTCCTGTTGCTCAGCAGGGCACCCCAACTCTCTACCTCACAATCATTCACAGTGGTGCCCAGATAGAAGTTCACATCACCATTAGCCTGGGAATTGGGAGTCATATTTCTACCAGAAATCTATTGGCTCGGTTCTTATGCAGACCCCAACTATTCTTCCCAGTCTAACTGGGTCAACCAGAGAACATCAGGCCTGGTAGGGACAGGCTGCTGTAGCTTCCAGAAAATACCAGTGAAGCTATCAGCTTAAAAAAAAAAATCACTGCTGCCTTCTCTTTAGCATGCTCATGTTCCAAAATCTTTAGTTCCAAAATCTCTCTGACTTTCCATTGTTTCTGTGCCAAAGCTGCTAAATGACAGCCCAAAAGGAGGGAAGAATTTCTCCTTAGCACTGACTCATAAGGCAGATCTCGAAAGCTGCACAGCCTCTTGCAGGCTGGCCCTCACCGTGCCCCCGCCACCTACCTAAGCAAACATGTTTGCACATTTAAACCACGTAACATGCCCAGCCTAGGAAGGCGTGTTGCATCACTTAACACTTGCTTCCATTTGCTATTGGTGCCTTACAACGATTTAGTTAGTTAAGCTCATTTAAAAAATATAAACCCCTGATGTCTGTTCACCTCTGTGCAGTTAAACAGAGCTTCGAAGTGGAGGAGTACAGCCTCTCGCAGTCCACCCTGGAGCAGGTGGGGCTATTTGTCATTTTGTTTCATTCAAGAGATGTAAATGGATGCTATTACATGCATGTGCTTCGTACATAGTTGGACCTGCAGATGGCCGTGTGACGTCTGTCTCTCTTCTTTTCTCCCTCCACCCTTCCAGGTGTTTCTTGAGCTCTCTAAGGAGCAGGAGCTGGGTGATTTTGATGAGGAACTGGATTCTACCATGAAGTGGAAACTCCTCCCACCGGAAGAGGCTTGAAGCTCCTCCCACCAGAAGAGGCTTGATGCTTCATAGAGCTGTTTTTCTTTATGCTTATAACTTTTTCATATCAATAACATGCCTTACCTCAGATATAGCACAGAGGACTTTTGAAACTCATGCTGTGACTTTTCTCCTGATGTTACTAATAGGGGGGCAGGTGAGGACAGTCAGTGAGACACGTGACAGAGCCTGAGATTGGGCCAGACCATGCACAACCCATGTTGTGTTGAATTAAAATAGCACTGATGATAACTTGTTTACGTGGCTGAGGATGGTAGCAGAGACAACTTGCCCTTCTTTCCCTGAACTTCACAATTTTGAATAGCTTCTTATATTTCTGATTACGTAAAAGTCAGACATAATATTAATTTTAGAAGAAAGACGATGAACTGATACCCTGGCAGCATGGTCTTTGTTTCTTGCAATTCTATATTCTAAGACTTTCTTTTGTGACTATAAAGCAAATTCAAAGCATGTTAAGGCAAATATTTGGGATAAGTATTTGAATGCTCAGGTTGGTGAATATTTTACAGTATATATTTTACATGCAAATAAAATATTGAACTGTTTACCTAATATGAGAAACCCAATATATGCATCAATGAAAGAGAAAAATAAAGGACAGATGATAAGAAACACAGAGATAGACTCTGTGGAGGTGGGGAGAGGCCCAGGGGGTGGGTCAGAAAGGAAGGAGATGAAGCTGAGGAGGAATCAAGGACCAAGATGCAACGTATCTGTGTGCTAAACCCTCCAATGAATGTATTGAATATGTATTGTGGACATGTACTATTAAAATATTTAAAATAGACACATTCCTGATTTCTTATGTTTTTGCTTATATGGGGATACTCTGTAAGGCACTAAATATGATACTTATAATTTACATTATGACCTGCCCAACTAATATCCCTGAAACACCTTAAAACCACCACATTAAATTTGTTCTAAGGTTTAGTTGTGTTTCTGTGATCGCTACCATCATTATTGTTATCTGCTAATTGAACATGTGAAAGCCATCATGCAAAAAGTAAAACACTCTGCACTTTATTGCTAATGAAATGATTTATTGCCTTCACCTAAGGGAAAATTCACAGGAAAGCAAGAGCCGTGGGACCCAGATTATTATTTTACAATAAGACACTAATAGTGGTTCTATTGAACTTTAATGAGTTGCAAATGGATAGAAGTCAGAATGACAAACACTTCACATTGCTTAAGTTAGTACTACAGTAAGGATTCCTTGTAATGAATAATGTGAAAAAGACAGCAAGTATCATTGTATTAGAAGGCTCACCCTCTCAATCATACATGACTTCCTAAGACTTGGCTCAACTGTACTATTAATCTTCTATTTGACTCCGCAAACATTTGAGTGGATATTATGGTCGGGTGAACTAACTAATTGTCACCTAGGAGCACCCAGATGAACTGAATCAGCATGATGCTGGGTGTGGAAGGCCCACCTGAGAATTGTTGCCAACTGCATACAAAGAAAACTAGAGGGCAAGATGGCGTGCTGTTGATCCTCCTGGAGAAGCTTGTCATGCTGGCTCCTCTGCTCTGAACTTGGCTGTTCTCATCATCAAAAGAACTCTTGTCCTCTCTGTTACCACTGCAGTTTACTTCTGGGGAGCTCTGTTCCCTACCTTGAGAGTTGCTTCCTGACTCCAGTGCAGATCCACAAGCCTGTGGGCACAGAGCCTTCATCCTGCTGGTGCAGACTTTCTAGCTTCCACACTGACCTTTGGGCCTTTCCAGTGCAGATCCTTGATACAACTTGCATGAAAAATTGTCGTGGACTCTGAGCCTCCAGTTGGAGTCGTGGGGGACATTGCAATGGGTCTGAGATCTTCCACTGGACTCATGAAGCAAATTTCCATGGAATCAGGACCTCAGCTGAACTCTTTGGGTCCCAGTGTGTGGACAGATCTCCCACACTGTTTTGCACTTGTCTCTTTGGGTGAATATTATAAAATAATCTTATGAGTTATGTGTCCTTTCCCTGTAAACTCTGACTAAACGTATAGTCTAATGTTAGAATGCCCCCCAAAGGCTCACATGTCCACAGAGGTGATTTGATCATAGGGATAGAATAGCTGAGTTATTTGGAGGCAGGGTCGGATGGGAAAGGGCAGATCACTGAGTTTGGCCAGGAAAGGTCTATCTGGGTCTTCCAGTGATTCTCTCTGCTTACCTTAGCCCAACCACACAAATATCTCTCTACCATGAGCCTCTCTGTCTGTCCATCCTGCCTTGGAGCCAGCCCACGAAAATCATGAGCTTGGTAATTTCTTATCACTGCTTTAAATTGAGGAGCTGAATAGCATGTCCCAGTGACGAGGAACTTTTAATTAAAGCACTGAGAGTTTTTAAATGACTCCCTAAAGGGCCATTGAGATAGCTTAGAGGACTAACATCTGCTTAGACAAGTACAGGGAGAGGGGTTCAATCCCTGGGACAACATGCCATGCTGGCCCTGCACCCAGGTGCGCTGAGCCGGCCAAGACCAGGCGTGGTGGTGCATGCCTGTAATCCCAGCACTGGGGAGACTGACAGCAAGAGGATTGCTATGAGACCCAGCTATGTAGTTTATCTTTTGACATGGCAGAGTAGTACTCTATTGTATAGAAATACATTTTTATTCATCTTTTGATGTTCATATGGACTGTTTCTAAGATTAGCTATTATAAATTGTGCTGTTATAAACATGGGTATGTACGAATCACTGTAGCATGATAACTTAAATTCTTTAAGGAACATAGCTAAAAGGGGAAGAGCTGGGTCAAGTGGAACCTCTAGGTTTGGTTTTCTGAGGAATTTCCTCACTCATTTCCATACTGGCTGTATCAGTTTACACTACCACCAGTGGAGAAGGGTTTCTTTTCCCCCTCAGGCTCACCAGCCTCTGTTATTAGCTTACCTCTCCGTGATGCCTATTCTTTCTGGAGTGAGTTGGAGGAGCCAGGGAGATAACTCAGTGGCCTAAGTGCCTTCCTGGCAAGTGCAAGGTCCAGAGTTCAGTCCCTGGTACAATACAAGAAAAGGCAAAACACATACTGGAGAGGGAACCTCAGTGTTGTTTTAATTTGCATTTCTTGAGTGGCAACTAATGTTGAACATTCTTTGTGTGTATTTTGGAGGCCATTTGTGCTTCTTCATCTGAGAGGCATTTTCATTACAGATGCCAATTTCTGGATCGGGTCTTTAAATATGGCGTGTCTATTTTTTTTTTTTTAAGTTATATATATTCTAGACATCAGTCCTCTGTCTGAGTACCTGGAAATTTTTTCCCCATTTTGTGGTTGTCTCTTCACTCAGTGGTTTCTGTAGAAGCTTTTTATTTGATATGAACCTATTATTGATTTTTTAAAAAAATTCCTTGTGCAAGTAGGGTTCCGTTCACAAAGATTTTGCATATGTCTTCAAGAATTTTACCTCTACCTTCTAGCAGATTTAGTTCTCTGCCTTAATATTTAGATGTCTGATTAATTTTGATTTTAGCTTAGTGCATGGTGAGATGTGGGTTGGCAGCCTCAGTGTTTGGAATATATTTAGCCAGTTTTCTGAACATTCTTTCTAAAGAGGCTGTCCTTACATAGCAATTGTGTTCTGTCCTTTTGTCAAAAATAAGATGACTCAGTGTGCCTGGAGCCATTTCTGCATCCAATATTCTTTTCTACTGAACTATAAATGTTTATTTGTCTTGCCAGTGTGATGCTGCATTGTATTGATATAGCTTTGTAGTGTAGTTTGATGTCTAAAATTTTGATGCCTCTTCCTTGCTTTTATTATCTAGAATTGTTCATAATGGTAGGTCTCTTCTTTTTCCCTATGAATGTAAGGATCATTTGCTCTATTTCTTTGAAGAATGCTACTGGTATTTTGACTGAGATTGCATTAATTTTTTTTTTAGCATAACATCTCTTTACCAGTTTTTTAAAGAGATTGTATTAAATTTGAATAAAAGTTTTGGAGGTATGGCCATTTTTACTATATTGGTTCTGCTTATTTAGGAACAGAGGGTGTCTTTCCATTTTTTATTTTTCCATTTTTTGATGTCCTCTTCAATCTCCTTTTTCAGAGTACTGTGGTTTGATTTTAGCTTAGTGCATGGTGAGATGTAGGTTGGCAGCCTCAGTGTTTGGAATATATTTAGCTTCCTCTGTCGTTATGACATAGAAATTTACACTATAAACCTTGCTCTTTAGGACTGCTTACGTTGTGTCCCATGACTTCTAGCTTGTCATGAACTTCTTTTATTTTAGCTGTGATTCACTGATTATTCAAGAGGGCATTGTTTAATTTCCATGCATGTGTATAGTTTCTGTGGTGTATATTGCTGTTGACTTCTAATCTCATTGCACTATGATCTGATAACACGCATGGGATAATTTTGATTCATTTGTATTTTCTTAAGCATGTTCTGTGGCTAGTGTGTGGTCTGTTTTGGAGAAAGGTTCTTTTCCTGTATTTCACCTTTGTCACTTTCTTTCAAGACTTGAAGTACTTTGCTCCATTCCCCTCTTGACTTGATGGTTTGAGAAGAGAAATCTGCTGTTATTCTGATGGGTTTTCTTTTAAGTGCGATCTGTTTCTTTTCTCTAGTGGCTTTTAGTATACTTTTCTTGTGCTGAATTTCTGGTATCTTGATTATTATATGTCTGGGTGTGGTTTTAATTGAATTAATGTTATTTGGAGTTCTATATCCCTCAGTTACCTGAATATCAGGTTGTTTCTCCATATTTGGGAAGTTTTCTGCTATTACTTCTGCCCATATTCTTTTGATATCATTTGTGTTGGCTTCTTATTTCTCATTGATGCCAATTAGTCTTCTGCTGCTCACCTTTGCATCGTCTTGCAGATGTGCAATTATTTTTTCCTGCTTGTTGTTTTTAGTAGATCTTTCCTTATCTTTTCACTAGGTGCAATGGTGTCTTCAAGGTCTGAAACTCTATCTTCTCTTTCATTTGGATGGTTTTGCCAACTTTTAATTGAGTTTTTAATCTTGAATATGTCTTTGATTCAAGATTTCCATCATTTTTCTATTCTCCTCTTTTTTTTCTAAGTTTATTCTTTAGAAATATTTAGCAATTCTTTCATTATTATCATTTCCTTTTTTACTTCAGAGATTATTTATGATCTGATTTCCTCTATACCTTTCTGTAGTTTTTTTTTTTTTACATCAGACATTATTATTTCAGAGATTTCAGGTGTGTGACTTCCAGTTTCTTCTATGCTAGTGTCTTCTGCATTAGTTCTGGGTGGGCTTGGGGCCTGAGAATGCATTTTGCTCCTTCTCTTTGTCATTTTGCGTGGCACTGTCCTCTGACCTTTGGTTCAGTTATTAGCTACACACCTACCGATATTATTACTCAAGAGAGATCATGTGGTTAAGGCAGTTGCTGTTTTCTATTTACAGTACAACCATTGCAACACTAATAATGGTTGGTGAGATTTGGCAAATGACAATCTTTTATATCTAATGGATTTATATTTTATATCATAAGAGCAAACATTATGATTGTATAGTTAGGCAGATATTAAATTGGGAATATGTATTTAAATTAGTTCCCCTAAATTCTGTTTGATCACCTCCCTTCGATGTACCTGGGGTCTTCCAGGCAGACTAGTTCACCCCAGTTACCAGTTACCACCTCTCTCCCTCGAAAGAGTGAATACTCACATAGGTCAGGGTTTGGCAGCGTGCCTCAGCTTACTGGGTCGGA